GGCACCAGAAGGCAAGGGGTACATCTGCCCCCCCTCCTTCTTCTGGGTCTCACGTCCACCGGGGTGAACGCGGGCACGTGTCGGGCACCTGGAGTACCTCTGGGTACACGGCAGGCGCTCAATAAATGCTCCCTCCCTTCCTCCCTTGCGGTCGGTCTCTCTGGACATGCCACTTTTCAAAAACGCGACAGTTATTTAAAGAGCCCAGGCTCCTGGGGCGCCTGGGGGGGCTCAGACCGTTGAGCGCCCAACTTCGGCTCGGGTCATGATCTCACGGTCCGTGGGTTCGAGCCCCGCGTCGGGCTCTGGGCTGACGGCTCAGAGCCTGGAGCCCGCTTCGGATTCTGTGTCCCCCTCTCTCTCTGCCCCTTCCCTGCTCTCTGTCTCTCAAAAATAAATAAACGTACACACACGCATACACACAAAAATACATACAGAGCACAGGCTCCTGAAGGCCAGGGGTTCTCCACCCTGCGCTCTGGAGTCATCTGTGGACCTTACGGAAAGACCCAGAAGCTCGCTGCGGGATCCCTGAGGTTGGGCCCAGCCGCGCTTCCAAAGCTCCCCAGGCAGTCCGAATGCACAGTGGGGTGGAGACGCTCGGACCGAATGGCTCTTATCTGGCTTTTGAGGTCTGTACATCCTTTTCTAAAGAGGGCGACGGGCCAGGGACGAGTGACGGGGCCCAGAGCCGGCTCCAGAAGGAGAGCCGGGCTGCGGAGTCGGCGTTGCTAGCCGCCAGGCCGCCCTGCCCTCGCTTGCCAGCCGCGAAGGCTTGCACTCAGGTCCCCAGGGCGGAGACAGAGCAGGCCCCTGCTCCCTGCGTCGGCCCCACCAGAGAGAGCATGGCAGCCTGGCCGTGAGGGCGTATGTGACAGCAGGTGAGGCCTCTCTCTGGAAATTTGCTGACCAGGCTGAGTCCTGGCTGGGTACACGGCGTCTCAAAGCTGTGCCTGGGAAGGCACCCCGTGGGCGGGCCTCACACCTAAAATCCTGGCTCGCTGCGTCTCGGGAGCGTTTCCGTGCCCATCGCGGCCTGGGGCGGGGGAAATGGCATTTCGGTTCCTTCCCTGCGGCTTGCTAACCAGAAGATGCTGAAAAAACTCTAAGCCCTGCAAAGCTTCACTCGCCCCATCTGGGAAGCAGGAAGACGGCCAACCCACGGGGTCACGTTGAAGTTGAAATGGGGAGACAGGCCGAGGCAGGTGCCTGCCCCGCGGAGGGGGGGAAACGCCTGGCATGTCCCGAGCACCCCCACGTCCCGTGTGGCCGGTTCGTGGAGCAGCCCCACTTTCCAGATTGGAAAGCCAAGGTCTCTAGAGGTTGCCTCCCCAAGGTCAAGGGGTGAGGCCGGGGTCTGAACTCGGGAGCCCAAGCTGTTGGCCACCACTCACTCACGCGGGCCGGGCCCCCTTCTGGAGGCATCTCTCACCGCATGCTGGAATGCCCCGGCTGCTGATGGCCGAAGGGAGCATCCTCTTGGGGGGAAGACGCATGCTGGGGACCCCGGGCCACGAAGGGAGTGGAGGCGGACTGCACACTGCCACCCGGGTCGTCCACTAAAGTCTGGGCGGAGAGCAGGCCCGGTAAGCCTGGCCTGGCTCCCTGGACACTGAGAGGGTCCAGGGCCTTGGGGGCGCACTCAGGGTCAGAACCCGGAGTGCCGGCTCGCATCCTGGAGGAAAACAGAAGCCCGGTGGGGCGCGCGGCACGCACACAGAGCACCTGACGTCGTCGGGGGCACCGAGGAGCGGGGCTCTGGGCTCCGGAAGGGGCTGAGGGTGGGGGGAAGGTGGAGAGAAAAGAAGGTCAGGCGCGGACAGCAGAGGCCGGGAGGCAGAGCCGCAGGACCGGCCCGGGAGGGCCCCCGGGGACACAGACAAGGCAACCCCGGCCGAATCGCCAGCTGACGTGCCCCACCTCCCCGTCCCACCTTCTGTCTGTCCCGTCCATGCATCTCCCAGGTTGAGCTTTCGGCCCCCGGGGCCGGGCACACGGCAGGTCCTGGCCCCCCATGTGCTGCAAACCCACTGGTGGCCGTCTGTGAGGCGCCCTGCCCTGGGCCACCCCTTGTGCCCTTCTCATTCCTGCCGCGACGCCCCGGCACCCCAGTGTCCCAAACCCCACCAACGCCAGGAGCCGCCGTTGACGCATACCTACTGGGAGCCAGGCGCCGGCCCCTGAGGTTACCGCGGACCATCCCACTGACGCCCGTCACCGACACTATGCGGGAACGTCTGATACTGTCCTCTCTCGACCCCTGGAGAAACCGAGGCACAGAGCACCTCAACTGCCTCCCAGAGCCTTTACTCAACGAGTGCCCGGATGCACGGGGTGGGGGGGGGGGCCGGCATCCTGGGAGAGTGGGGGTCCTCCCGGGAATGAGCCCCTCCTTCCCTGACCTGACCCCACCCGGCCCCCTGCGGTGCGATGCCAGGGCCGGGCCAGGCTCTCTGGAAGCAAGAACCCCAACGATAATGATATGCTGGTGGCACGGATACCCGCAGCTAATATTTACATAACGCTCACCGTATGTACTCCAGGCGCTCTTCCAAATGCTACGCACGCAGCCATTACTCACAGAGCCTCCCAAGCCTGTTTGGTGCATGCCGGTGTTTGCCCATTTCACAGATGGGGCACAGAGAGGTTAGCTGGTCTGCCGAGGACACACAGCCGGCAGGCGTCAGGGCTGGGATGTGAACCCCTCGCTGGGCCTGACCCCAGGGGCCGTGAGGTGGGCCCCCGGCAGAAACCCACAGGGGCGGGGAGGGGGACGGGGGGGGCGCAGGGAGGGGGGGCAGGCCAGCCGCCCAGGGCCAGGGGGTAGGGGGAGCTCTCCCTCCCACCAGGAGGAGGCCGCTGCTGCTGGCGCTCTCCCCGCGAGGCCAGGCCTTGCAAGGGAAGCAGAAATCTGTCGTTAACACAGTGCCAAACCCAAAGTGGCTGGTCCCGAACTGCAATCCAATAAAAGTGCGACTTGTCTATTTATCATCCTCGGGGCTTTTTATCACGGTGCAGATGGCTGCTACCTTTGGAAGGCTCAGCAGCTCGCTGCCAGCCGCCCGCCACGCAAAGCTTAGCTCAACAGAATCTGGGCCTGCACCTGTGCAGGGCTGCGAGCGGGGGCCCCCCCGGGCACGCGGGGTCCCGTGTCCCTCTCCCGCTCAGCGCTCACGCGCTGCCCCCGCGCCCGCCCCCCCTCCCGCGGAGCTGGTGGCCGAGGGCCCGCGCAGCGGCTCCCCCCTCCACGGTGCTCACAGCCGCGCCCACCACACCCGGTGCGGAGCCCCCAGTGACCGGAGGAGGCAGGTGCTCCCCGGAGCGGAGCGGAGAGAAAGCGGCAGGAGCCCCGCGGGGGAGCGGAGGGCCGGGTGCGAACGCGCGGCCCAGGCGGCTCAGAGCAAGGGGCCCCGTGGGGCGCCCACGGCGACGCAGGCGGGAAGATAAAGCCAGGGAAGATCAAGGGCCAGGCGTGCAGAAAAGAGGCGCCGTGCAGCCTCCCGGCGTGCGGGGAGGGGGGTGGGGGGAGCCCCAGGAATCAGGAGCCGCCCCAGACCCCTGCAGGCTCACTTCTGGCGGGGCCTCCCGAGACTGGTCCCGGAAATCAAGCCCGCGGGAGGGACGCGGGTATCGCCACCCACGCGGAGGCCGGGGCGACAGGGAGGGGCGGGAGGTCCCCCCTGGCTGGACGGGAGGTCGGGCCTGAGGCCGGGTGCCTTCCAGTCCTTCCAGCTGCCACAGGTTTATGTCGAGAAGGCAGCTTTTCCACCAGCCCGGGGCCCCAGCTGCAGCGCGCGTGCGTGCCCATGCGTTCACGCGCGTGTCTCTGCACATGACCCGTCTCCGTGTGCGCACGTACGTGTCTGCGTGCGTGTGTGCATATCGGTCTCTGTGCGCACCAATCTCTGTACACGTGTGTGTGTGTGTGTGTGTGCGCGCGCGCGTACGTGTGTGTAGGGGCTGAAAGTTTCGCCCCCCCACCCCCACCCCGCAGCCTGCAGAGGTCCAGGGGCCACCCCGGCACTGTGAGCCATGACCTTTGCCCTTTGGGCTGCGGCCCAGGAAACAGAGCAACGACCAGAACACCCTGCCACCCCAGGTCCTCCCGGCTGGCCCGGTGTCTGCTCTCCAAGTAAACCAGACTCGGCAGGCCTCCTTAGGCACGCACCTTAGGGATGCTGCCGGACTGGACGAGGGGCTGCATCTGGAAAAGGCACTGAGCATCCTTCCAGGCGTGTCTGTGGTCTCCCCTACGGGGTTCAGGGCTCCGGCCTTCCCAAAGTGCTTTCCAGCCAGCTCGGGGGACTTAGGCCCTTCCAGTTGCCTGGAACGCCCCTCCCTGCCGCCCCGAAGCGGCCTGCCCCGCTTCCAGACAGGCGCGCCAAGCCTCTGTGTTATTTCTGGGTGCCACAAGGCACACAGGTGGGCGCAGCCACCGCCGTGGCAGAAGCTGTGGCTCAGAGAGGCTGGGAACCGCCACAAGGTCACCCGGCTGCACGCTTTTCCGCCGGGCTGGTTCGCAGCACTGGGGCTCCTACCGCCCCAGCCTCTCCCGTGGTCACAAAACGGGGCCGGGAGGGCAGCTGCGCTCGGCCCGGCTACATTGTTAACACTCGCCTCCTCGGCTGTCCTACACCTCGGTCTGTAGCTTTGTTTTTTTTTTTTTTTTTTTGCCAGGGTGCTTCAGTTTGTGCCCATCGTAACAATACCTAACTCGTACGTAAACGTTACCTCCGGCCGGACCCAGATCTAAGTACACACACTTCCTCCTTCGAAAGTCCTCTCCCGGGACACCATCTTTATGTTTCAGATCGGAAAGCAGCACAGAGAGGTGAAGAAACGGACCGCAGGTCACACAGCTGGGGCCAGGACTGGGACCCGTGTGACGCGCCGCATTGGCCATCTGCAGCACGGTCTGGTCACAGCAGACTGGACTGTCTTGGTGCAGGACAGCGGAGACCGGAGAGTTCCAGGCTCTGGGTGCAGCTTTCCCCTGGTGGACTGGGGACAGGTAATAAGGAGCCCCTTTTCACCTCAGCCTGCTGGGGGCCACACCAGGAGACCTGTCCTTGGCCCCCAGGGTGGAAGCTGGACCTCCCCTCTTCAGAGAGATGTCAAATCTTCTCAGCGGGCAGGGTGGCCGCCCCCGGACCCCTCATGTGGCAGGCAGCAGCATGCGGAGAAGGGAATGGGGGCCACGCAGGGTTGAATAGCACCCCCCCCCCCAATTACATCCACGTGGAACCTCAGAAGGGGACTTTATTTGGAGATACGGTCTTTGCAGATGGGTCTGGAGACGCGATCGCCCTGGATTTAGGATGAGCCCTGATGGGAGAACAGACACCCCTCTCCTGAAATTCTGGACGAATCCTTGGCTGCACATAGCCAGCCTCAGTTTACCTCCACAGTCAGGTTCAACCTCCTGCTTCCTAATGCACCGGCGGCTCTGTACTGGCCAATGAGTCCATCACAACACCCTTTATGCATTCGCTCAACAAACATTTATCAACCATCTACTGCGCACGTGCACCAGGTTCTTCCAGGCCCCAGAGAATATGGCAAAAGTCCTGCCTGCATGGGGCTGATGCTGAGCTGGGGGAGCCAGAGAGTAAACAGCCAGACAATCAAGGGACACAACTTCAGCAACCAAAGACTCTCTAGGGGAAAGGGAGCACCAGACTATTAGAACAGTAAGTGCAAAGGCCCTGAGGCAGAAACGAGATCTTCTGTTCAGGATGGAACAAGCCCCGTCGGTGGGGTTGCAGCAGGGGCTCCTTGTGGGGGTAGCTGGGTGGGGGGGGCCACTGGAGCTGCCGGACCACACCAGGCATTTAAGGTGTCATAAGGAGTTGGGATTTTATTCCACCTGTTACGGGAAGCTGCCGTAAGCCAGGTGGTTTTGACTGAGTGAAGTGGGCTCCCCTCCGATGGCTACAGGGAGAAGGGAGGCCATGGGGGCGGTGGGGGTGAAGGGGGGGTTGGGGGCAGGACGGGGAGACAGGCCTATTCCTCTGGGAAAAGGTTTTGCTGGAGGGAGAGGTGGGCCAGAGCAGGCGTCGAGGGTCCAGGAGGAGAGAATTAGCTCTCAAGTCTGGAGGGAGGAACTTGCTCGTCAGCGGGCTGGTGACCCTTGGAAGGGCAGAGACGTCCGTGGGTGGGCGAGTGTGTGTGCCCGTGCCGACGAGTCTGCGTGTATTGCAAACGTGTCCCCGTGTGCCTGTGTAGGGAGGTGTGGGCGTCCCCGTGCACCCGTGTGGATGCTCACCCGTGTCTGTGCCGGGATGCAGAGGCTTCATCCGGCAAGTCCAGACCCCCAGGCTCATCGGAACCCCGCTCCCCACTGACACAGGCCCAGAATTCCAAAGTGCCTCAGCCTGGCGCCTGGTGGGGGCGGGGGCGCACCCTCCCCCTTGCAAGTGCTTCTGAACGCATTCTACCCTCTACCTCTCCAGGCACACTGCCATCTGTCTCTCCCCCTCCTGCCGCTCGGCCATTTGAGCCAGTGATGGGGGGCGCTCCCCGCCTCCGGGACCGGGAGAGCCAGATGGCGGGAGTCAAGGCCCCGTGGTGCCCGGGGGACGCTGCACAGGGCTGCTGTCCCCACAGCCACCCGGGGTCACGGGGCAGGCCTCCACCACCGTCAGCCTTGGCGCCTCCTGGCTGTCCCGGCCCCTGTCCCCGGGCCCCACCTCAAGTGGCCTTTTGCAGCCACCACATAAATCACCGTCCAGGTCAGGACCGGGTGAGGGAGCAGGGCTGGGGAGGGCACAGCCCCTGGGGCCTGCAGACAGACTGGCTGCCAGTGACCCCTGACAGCCCAGGCCAGGGGGTCTCCAGGGGCCAGCTGGGAGGTCGGGGAGGTGCAATGCTGCCCTGGGCCTGCGGGTGATCCCGGCTGGCCCCGCTGCACCCGCTGCACGGGGAGGGCCCGGGTCAGGGGCGCAGGCCAACACCTGTCCAGGTAGCCCGCGTGGAGGGCAGGCCGGAGGCCACGCTGGGTGGCCCGGAGCAGCTGCCCGCACCGGCCGGTTCTGGGCCTTCATCTCTGCACACGACCTCAGCGCCCGCGGACCTGGGCGCAGCTCTGTGAGCTCGGCCCCCTGTCTTGTCACCAACTTCACAGATGCTCCCTGAGAATGCCCGCCACATTCTGGACACGTAAGCTCGGGAGCTGTTTAGTTTCTGTTCCGCCGTCTCACTTTCTAGCTGCGAGAGCCTGGGCAAGTGATTTGGCCATTCTGGGCCTCAGTCTGCCCATCTGCGAAAGCGGACGCTGGCACCTTCCTCTGAGGGTCTCGGGAGGGTTCGACGAACAGGGCCACCACCTCCGTGGAGGACAGCTGCCCTCCACGGAGGCTCCGGCGCGGGCCTGGGGGTTCCCACAAGGACGCAGCCCCTCCTCTTTGCTCTCCCCCACCCTGGAGAACACACTCCCTACTTTGCACAAGAGGAGCAAAGGCCCAGGAGGCCCTCAAACACAAGGGTCCCTCAGGCCGGGCTCGCAGCCCCTCGCGTCAGATGCGTGGATTCATTCGTTCACTCACTCATTCACTCATTCCACAAAGTTTATAAAGTGCCTACTATGTGTTAGACGCCTTGTAGGGAGTGTAGAAAAGAGGGGGGTGTCGAGTAGGGGCTCGGTCCGATGGGGGCGGCAGAGGCACAAACACAGGGTCCGATTCAAGCAGAGACACAGACAGAGGTCGGCAGCCTCCAGGATGCGGAGCACAGACCTCCCTTCCCCAAGCCTGGGACAGCTTCAGGGAAGCAGACACGGAGCGGTAACGAAAATAACGAAGGGTACTTATCATTTGTTGCGGCGTGAGGGGAGTACTGTTACAACCCGGGGAGCTGGAGGCCCAGAGAGGCTCAGCGACTTGCCCGACACCACACAGCTAAAGCATCTGGGGAGGATCCCAGCCCAGAGACGGCACAGTCACTACACAAACATCCTAGGGCCCTAGGGGTTGGGATCCGGCCTCAGGGACATCCCGCCCGGCTCCTTGACCCCCCACAGCCGGAAGGAAGGTGTACCAAGAGCACATTTGCTTTACAGGTGGGGAAACTGAGGCCAGGCGGAGTCCCGGCCGGACGGCAGGCAGTGAGTAGAAGCTCTGGGAGCCCAACCCAGATCCCCTCCTAGGCTCAGATTTCTAACAGGCCTCAGGGCCTGCCCCGTCTCGCCCCCTTCCTGGGTGGAGCCCACCCGGTTGTGCAAACATATAGCTCCCCCCTCTGGGTGGGGGGGGCGTTTCCTCATTTCTCCTTCGTAGCACCAGACGGCAGCCTCCTGGTCCAGCAGGAGGCCCCGGGCTTGGCAACATCAGGCTTTCTCGAAATAAAAACGAGGAGGGGAAAAAGCCTTTCCAGGAGGGCCAGTTCTCATATTTACATGTAAAAAGGTCCCCTCGGGCTCTCCCCGCCCTTCCCCCCACTTCCTCCGGGGGCGGGGGATCGTTTGGAGGGCGGGCACGGGGCCTCGGTGACCCCAGGCGCCTCCTCGGGGGCGGGCGGAGGCGTCCGCTGGGAGAAAGATCAGAGGGTCCGGGAGGGGGGAGGGGAGGCGGCTGCTTCCTCGCTCCCCTCCCCCCTGGGATTTCGTGGGTGTGGTACCACGTGAGGCCGGCCGTCTGCACCCGCGCCCGCGCCCCCCGCCCCCGCCATCTGCTCCGAGGCCAAAAGTCGCCGGGGAGGTGCGGGGCGCTGCCGGGGACTGCGCGACCCCGGCAGTAACCTTCCCCCTCCCTGTCCCCACCTCTTAAAGCAGATGTCCCTTATTGATGGGCTCGGGTCCGCTCCAGCTCCGCCCCCCCCCCCCCCTCCGCAATGGACCCTCCGGCCCCGATGGCCCGCCGCGGACGGCTGCGGCGGCGGCGGGCTCCGACCCGGGGAAGGCCGCGGCGTGGGGTCCCTGCCCGGGAACCAGGGCGCCCGGCCAGCGGGGCTCCCTCCA